TTGGATGACTGTTGTAGTGTTCAGTGTTGTTGTGTTGTTATGATGTCGTAGTGTGTTGTCTTATCGTTTGTTGTTGGATGACTAAGTAGTGTTCAGTGTTGTTATGATGTTGTAGTGTGCGGTATATTTGTCTCATTATTATTGTCTGTTGTTTTGCAGTAGATGATATTTAGTGTGTGTTTGTGTTATTGTTTGTTGCAATGTTGTAAATGATGCTGTTTTGTTATTTTGCGTGGATTGTTCGCCATGTTGCTTCTAACATGGCAAGCAAGTATTACATCTTATGCCTTCCTAAATCTCTATTTGTTTTTGTTATAGCTATTCTGTTATTTTTGTTGTTGTTGTTGCATTTTCTATATTTCTTCTGTTGTCGTCTCTTTTTTATTGCTGTCTTTACTGTTGGCAAGCATATTATATACGTTGACCATGTCATTACACACCACCGAACAGTACTAAATCAACTTGTCTCGTTTCCAAACCACACCACACTAACGCTTCAAACTTCAAGACACAATTTTTCTTACTAATGACACACCGTCTCAAATTTAGGTACTGTTTTTCCAAAAACTGCTTTTCGTACTTTGCCTGTCACTCCTTTACACATTCGATTTGTTTTGCGAAGATTTTTTCCTATTTTATTAGTATCTTATCTGCAAAAACAATTGGGGTATCAAACCTAGAAATCCAAAAAAATATGTACAAAAGCGGTCTTATTATTATATCAGTATTCCTAGCAACAGTTTAACTTCCTTTTCTCGCTTAGATTCTTAAAACTTCGAGCTTTAATAATATATTTCATTCTCGCGTTCAAACCTTTACCATTTAGTCTGAGAACAATGCCCTTTGTGTAAGACTCTAAAGGCTCGTCAAGATAAAATCCAAGCTAATCCTCTTTGTAATATGTTTGAAAAACTTTAATATTATGCTGGTATTCATGTTTAGTTTTTCTTGTTTGTTTACTTTGTTTTGAGTTAATAACGACTGACAGCTACTGTCCTGTAGTAAATTTTTAAAATTACCCCAAAAATTATTCTGTAATTTGTTTGCGCCTTTGGAAGCCAATACGTGACTACACGGATGACATTGAAAGAAATTTGAATGGATTTTGTTTTTTATGTGGTTAAATAAAAAATTTATTATTAAGAGTTTTGAATGCATTTTCAGATTAAAATACGAATTATTTTTTGCCACTAGAATAAATTGGTAATTCAAAGTATATAGAGTATTGCAGTAAATTTTTTCTTATTGAAAATCAATATTAAGATAACTTTAGATGGGTTTACGAAAGTAAGTCAGTCAGAACTTCTGAAGAGGACATCAATTTTAGCTGTAGTTTGATGACAATCTAAAGAATTCATTATCTTATTATTTAGTTCGAACGACATACAATAAGTCAAAATCCTTGTCGTTTGGAATAAAACACACTTCCTAAGCTTTTAGGATACTTGAACTCCATAAACTAGTTTCCGGTTGAAGAATGGTGCCCAATTATGGAAGGTTTCTTCTTCAGTATATGTACTTCGTCTTTACAAAGTACATTCTCTTTAACCTCAACTTTGAATATTAATTTTGATAACGCAGTGTAAGTTTTCTTTGCAAAATTCTTCATTGCAACCACATAATTATTAGAAAACACAAACCTTACCTTCAAGTAAACTCCAAGTCAGTGACTTCGACAAGCAGCCTACGTCGTTTTCCAAAACACTGCTGCAAAAGCCAAAACACAGCCGCTACCTAAAATTTTAATCTAAACATTACTGCATTGAAAAGAATGACATCTTGATTGTTTAATGTTTTGCAAACGGCTGCACTTCAATACAAGATATTGTAGCTCTACGCTGCTTGGCTGATTGTCGTAGCTCAAGACAAATGCAAATTTTGAACAGAACTCCTCCAAAACGCGTCTTCTGATGGCTGACAATCAGTCAGTAATGAATTGCTCTCAGGAATTCCAAAAAGAATGGTAAATTGGCACTGTCAATAAGAGATGGTTGAGTGCTTTTATTCGGTGTTTATACATTAATCTGTCTATCTTTTTGTTATTTAGATAAAATATCCATTATGAAGTAGGTCTGTTTGCCGGCCTTCAATACCGGCGTCTTCTTGTTTCGAGTCGGATTTAAGACCTTGCCTCCAGGGCTTGCCGTGCGAAGATTAGTAGCCACCCTTTTTCCGTTCAAAATTAAAAATTGCTAAACAATGTCGGAAAAAGGAAATTGCACTTCCGAATGTGGTTTGGCAGTCTGTTGAAAGAGTCTAAGCAACCTTTTTTTAAACCAAGGGAACTGATTAATGATTTAGTGCAACATGGCATGACATGGTTCTTTTTGCTTTCCGTTATGAGTGATTTTTACTGGATCTCATTCATTCATTCATCCATCCATCCAGTCGTTCAATCATCCCATTCATCCCATTAATTCATTCATCCATTCCATTCATTCATCCATCCTTTTATTCATCCATTAATTCATCCATTCATCCATCCATTCATCATTCATTCATCACATTCATTCATCCATTCAGTCGTTCATTCATCACCTTCATCCATCCTTTTATTCATTCATTCATTCATTCATCACATTCATTCATCCATTCATTCATCCATTCATTCATTCATCCATCCATTCATTCGTTCATTCATCCACATATTTATTTATTTAATTATTCACTTACTCTCTTGTTCAACTCTTAGTTGAATCATTCCTTCGTTCATTCAATATTCCTTTATTCATTCATATATATCAATTAGTAATTCATCCAGCTTATTATAGATATTATAATTTATAATAAAGCAACTAAATATAACCAAAAAAAAGAAAAAATTTACATAGCAAAACTATGGCTAAATTTACTGAATCATACCAAAAAAAGCATCCACTTTTACCATCCACTCCCCTTATTCTTCCACGCTCTTTCTTTCTTATTCCTCCCTTGCACTTAAACGCAAAGGCACTTATCCTAACATCCATTTTTTCATTTAGCAATGAGTCGCCTCCTTCTTTCCCTTTCTAGCCTACCTTGCTTGGCGATCTGCGGTTGTTCTAAGTCAAGCAGGAGCAGACTATCCCCTCTCCAAAAAACAAAACAAAAAAAGTGAATATTTAGGAAAGACTCAAGTGCACCAATATATCCAAATGTGTCCTACTGCTTGCGCATCCTAATCCAAAGCTAACCCTTATTTTCTCTTTTACTAATTTATGTGTATAAGACAAAAACAGCGAGCGCGCACGAAATACAAATATGATCATTAACAGTCTCTTTTTGCTACTCAGCTCGTCTTCACCGCGCGCGCATTGATAAATATGGGTTCAGCTCTGGAGTATTCCCCTCCCTGAAAGAGTACTATCGGTTCTGCCTGTACTTCACTCTCAACCTGTTCTAGAAATGTCAAATAGGTCCACTATCTTCATTTCTCATGTCCAAAGTGACGACAAAGTAAAGACAATTTGTCCAATGTTGTTGCTTAGAAACGGATCAAAGCTTGAAAAAAAAAAAAAGGATTTCCAGGAAGAGAAGGGTGGGATGAAATGGTGGATGAAAAGAAATCAGAGACCGATCAGTGAACAGATATGGAATAGACCCCTTCACAGTTCCCTGCGCCATCTTGAAAGGTAGCCGTGCCTTTGCATCGAAGCGAGACGAACGGTGAGCTTGCAATGATAGAGACATGTGAATAATTGTTCAAGGTGCTAAAAAAGGTCTCTATCATTGCAAGCTCACGGTTCGTCTCGCTTCGATGCAAAGGCATGGTGACCTTTTAAGATGGCGCAGGGAACTATGAAGGGGACTATTCACATGAATTTTCCAATTCAACACCTTTTAGAATGAGGTTTTCTGTTCTTTAAAAATATCAGTCTGAAATGCATTATTCTTTGTTTGCAAGTTACGCCATCGCCGCCATGTTGGTGGTATTAAGGACTTTAAGAACTGCAAAATCTGCAACGGCGACTTCATCCGGAAGCGTAAATTATTTCGCTTTGGGATTTCGAGTCTAAAATCTGTCTTCCCTGTGGATGAGTTGACTTTACTAACATAATGTTTTGAATGAAATCTCCAATGAACAGAACCCCAAAGAGAAATTATTTACACTTCCGGTTGACGTCGCCGTCGTAGATTTTGCAAATCTTAAAGTCCCTAATGCCAATTGCCTCCTTTTATACCACCAAAACGGCCGCCATGCCTTTATCATTTGACTCTCTTGGATATGCTTGCAAACTATCAATGCATCATTCAGAATATATATCTTTAGCTTGGACGTAATGTTTTCCCATTTTAAACCACCTGTCATTTCCTTGAGTATTATTTTTTGTTTAACGGTTGCGCATGAGAAGACACATGAACATTGATACCTTTGAAACGAAGAATCTTAATCTCATAAGAAGGACACGTGGTCTGAAATGGGAAAACATTACGTCCAAGGTGAAGAGGTCAATTTAGTTTGATAAATCAATTTCTGACGACGAGTGCGCTTTTCCTCTCAATCAATTCAATTTTCCTGCCCTGTTTTCATTCTTGAGCATTGTTCCATACCCAGATGTATCTAGAACACATATGGAATGATCTTGTAAGGAACCTTTTGGCAATACCTCTTCCAAAATGGGCCGTACTTTTGATTACACTTGACGTCATCACGGAAGGCGCGGTGAACCAATAGGATCGTCATATAAACAAAATAGAATTGCGGCAACATGTGACTGACACCACAAGCAAGACAATAGGACAGGGAATTCATCAGATCACCAACATAGTTAAAATGCCTCGATATCCCCCACCAACCAGAAGCGAGTAAACAAGACTTCTTAACCTCGCCATCGGATGTACTGTACTCCGCCGGAATGTACACTGCGGGCTTACCCCAGATAACGCACTGCCCAGTCTTCTTGATTTGCGCGCGGAAATAGTCCTTCTGTGAATTCGCCGACCTAAATATGAAGTAGCCAGCCATACCTAGTATGAAGACTCCAGCTGCCGCCCAAAGTGGTAGATTGACGGGATTATAGACAAGGTAGACGGCTTGGAGCGTGTACATAAATGGAAGCCACACCATGTCACCCCAGGCGAGGTAGAACCCAAAATGGTCATGCGCAATGTCGATGGTTCTCAGGTACCAGACTTCGTTCAGGAAGTAATCAATGACGTAAAATGCTTGGAGGATGTTCAGAATCAACATGGAGTTAGTGACGTAGCCCAGGTTTTCGTACTGCTTGGCGGCGAACGACAAGTTGATAAGCGTCCAGGCTACTATTCCTGGACGTCCGTTAAAGAAGAGCTTAAAGTCAAAGTCTCCTATCCTAGGGTTTAGTTCCACTCCCATAAATAGATCATAGAAAAACGATCCACTGAAGCAGCGGTCTTCCTTGTGACTGGGAGCAACAAACGCCTTGATGTAAGATAACATTGTCAGCGCGAAGCCAAAGATGTTGGCTAACACCAGTAGAGCTCCCCAGTGATCGTAGACGATGGACATCTTGAAGTAACCAAGTTTAACACCAGCGAGAAACAAGGCATGAGTGACTAACCAAGCATTCATTCCGTTACAGTTGTAAGGCAGCGCATTACCAGCTGGCGTTGGGTTACCTTTAGCTTTTCTACCGGGAAGGACTAGGTACAAAATGACCTGAAGAACCATCCAACAGGTGAAGACAACTATTGCTTCTGTCGTCACTTCCGGGATGTTCTTCCTGACAAACTCGAGCACCGTACCTTCCTGGAAGCGAGCCATTAACTCGTGACCGAGCGAGCCCAGAGAGCACTGGTACGAGTTACAAGCGAGCCAAAAATACCAGACGAAGAGGGGAGGCCATAGTAACATGAAGGTGCCAAGGATGTTTATACTCAACCCAGGGACACCAGAGATGTTCACATTCTCATTGTTCAGCCGTTCTTTGGAAGAAGCAGCTGATTGGCTCGTCCCGTTCATGGTTGTTCCGTTGCTATGTGACTCTTTGGGCTGTTCAGCGGTATGCTTCCCCGTGCGATGTTTGGTTTCCATGGTAACTGCAAGGGAGTCTAAAATCAAATAGAAGAAAAAATGGAAATGTTGCATTTGGTCACTCATGCCTTGCGCAAAGAAACAACATAACGCTAGCTGTCAAACGTTTGACGGAAGCCAACAACCAAAACGTCTGGGGTTATTATCACGAAAAAATTGGTTTAAAGTTGATGTAGGGGTTATCTAGAACGTAGCCTGCGTTTGGCGGTCTGCGGTGTTGTGAAGGATAAAAGAAAGAGAAAGAAATCAAAGATTTTTTTACGAAATCTTACGGAAAGATCGTTGAAGGTGAAAAAACTGGTAAATCTCGTGCAAACAAAATATAATTCAAACTGAAAAATACGAGAAAAACTAGCGATTCTAGGCTATAAAGCTTATGCATGTTACGTCACAACCACCATCTTGGTTGACGATAACAAAGCATTCCTCATTAGCTTCTCTTGTTAGATCAGCCAACATGGCGGTTGTTTCATTGTCATTCATATGTCAAGGGATTTTGAGCCACTTGGTTGCCCACAACTGTATAAGATTTATATAGAATATCACCTACCTCACCCCCAATCGAGTGTGATAATAGTCCCTTCCCAGGGTACCGCAAAAAAAAAAAGAAAAAAAGAAAAAAAGCTTGTCATCACATCATTTTAATGATGTAAAAACTGCAACGCATGATCTTGACCTATTGTCTCTGGATCGTTCTGGCTGAAAATTATTCGTACCACCTTTTTTTTTTTGCTTCGAGAAAAATCTGTCTTCGTAAATTCATCTCCAAATAAACTTAAAACAATTTATTTTAGTTTTTCTTTATCTATTGGTCTCTCAAAGCTGTTGTATGGTATTGAAAAGCCTGCTTTAATAGAACAATAGAGCACTTAGTAGAAGATCAATTGACCAAAAACCACGACCAAAAATAAATATTTTTAAGGCGTATGAAGCGACCCTAAGGAACCCTCGAGCGGTAGCTTCAATCTGCTTATGAACTTTTCAAATTTCACAATCTGAGATTCAGTTTTTCTTTTCTCGTAAAATAGTCCTAATATCAACGAATTTTAAATGACAAAGACACAGTTTCGCAATCATCATTAAATTTGACCCTCTAGATGTATGTAAGCTAACGCATGGCTAATAAAGTCTGAACAATTTCTATGACTCACTTACGCGAATACTTATGCCATTACTGATAACCGTTGGGGTTTTATATTTTGATAAAANAAAAAAAAAAAAAAAAAAAAAAAAAAAAAAAGATAAAATAAATTCAGGACTGACCTACCTCTTGTTGCTTTGAAGGGTAGTCGAGAAGGAACAGCAGCTCTTAAAGGTGTCAATTAATTCAATCCCCGAGGGATCCCTGAAAGTTATATAAGAAGAGACTTCAAGGGCATTCAAGGTCATTTCGAGAACACGTGACAATAAGCTGAGATGAACTGATATTTTAAAAAATAAATTATTTTATAAATCAATATTCTTATACTTGAATTTTCCCTCGAGTTTTCATGGAATTTCGAGAAATAAAACTAAGAGGACATTTTTATTTTTTTTGGCAAGGTAAACTGGTTGGCTAAATCGAGAAACAGAGGAATTCTTCGCTTGCGCAAATTAAAATTTTTGCATTTATGAGAGATTTGGCGGGACTTGCTAAAACGGATATTTCATTAACGTTGGTGGACATTTTGAACCCACCAGCTAAGGCTAAAGCTAAACAAAATCATAAAGTTCGTTTCAGCTTAGTTATTAAAAAATCTTTCTCAAAAATTTTTAATAAAAAATATATCACAGTATTTACTCGGAATCTAGACTGACAGACACCAGCACCACTTGGGCTACCTGTGCCCAGACCTGTACCAGTGGCTTGTGATGCTCTCATACTCATTAATCATTCATGAGGAAACCAGCCAATCAATGGGCTATTTTTGGGTCACATGATGTTACTAGAAACCTGGTAAAGTCAAGTGAAAGGACTGAATGAGCGCAGCGCAACCGTGACGTCATAAAAACAAAGACAAAGGCGAAATTCGGACAAACAAACTTACAAGTTTACTTTCAGCAGATAATTTTCACAGCCGATCGCAGTTGATTTTAGTTTACATGGGTTATTATTGTAACTTTAAGTAAAAATAATAAAATCGGTTCGTATAATCCTCGTAGCGGTTGAACAGAATGCAATGTTTGTCCGAATCTTTAAGCTATTTTTAGAATCAGTGCGCTGCGCTATTCAGTCTGTAGTGACTGGAACAAAATTAATTCAGTCCAGTTACTCTAAATCGAATAATAATGAGCATGAGAAGTCATTTCAAAACCTCCAATATCGGACTGGACGGGATTTCAAGTCCACGCAATTAGTTCCAGTCCTCGGCTAAGCCTCGGACGACTGGGACTAATTGCTTGGATTTGAAATCCTGTTCAGTCCTTATTGTCGGCTTTGAAATGTTACTTTAAGTCTGTCAGCGTTTTGCCTTAGAAGGGGATAATATTTATAGACACGGATGGATCCTTAGAAGGGGATAATATCAATGAGACACGGAACTTTAGAAGATACAATGTTTTTTAGTTTAACTTGAGGTTATATTCTGTTTCATAGCAATATTTTCAAAGCCATTTTCATCGCTCACTGGGCACCAGAAAAACCTGACAGCTTTGTCACATAAAATTTTGTAATAATCTATTTTCCTTGGCAAAGGAAAAGCAAAAAACCGTAAAATACAAACAACACATACCTTAAAATGATAGCAGAATGAAAATTTGAGCTTTAACTACAGCTACGACATCAATTTTGAACGGCAGTGTGACTGAAAATACGTTTTCTTCGGGACCATCAATCTTCTCGAATGATCACCCGATTCTTGAATATATTACCAGAAAAGAGTTGTCGTCAAGAAAAGGTTCTTTATAATAGGTTGAAAAAACCACCTGGCCAGATCATCATATCGCAAAGACAAAGCCAAAACACATTAAAAGATAAATTTGCCTTGTCTGATAGACAATATAGAAAGCCTTTCTTCGAGTCTTGGATTGTTCTAGAAATATTTTGGGATATTTTAAATTTATTAATACAATTAATATTTGAAGGCCATTTTCAGAAGTCCTGTTCGTTTCCAAGGAGATTTTAGATATTCAAATTCATTTTAGACTCTAATACTTCATGTTATCAAGTATATAGATTCAGAATATTTAATTTCCGTTTTGGGAGTTATCTAGAAATTCAATTACAGTGCTGTACCTTTTTAGAAGATTTAAATTTTTTTGTTGACAGAGCTTTCCTTCCTTTCAACCCCTTGTTCATAATTTGTCTCAAAAACATACTTAGTTTTTGTATTTTTTCATGCTTATTATCTTCACTGAAGTAACGTACGTTCTCTTTAAGATAGGCCTTTGCAATAACAGGTCACGTGACCCAACCCCCTTAAAATGGTTGTCAAAATGAACACCAGAAAAAAGGGCAACTCGATATTAGTGAGAGCGCGAGTTTTAGCTCATTAAGTTGACTATAGGAGAAATGGTATTAAATATGATCGAATTTTTTATATTCAATGCCATTTCTCCTGTTTTGCTTGTTAAGTAATGCTCTAATAAGAACGATAGCGCTTTCTATTGTTTTGCGGCTTATCGCTTGCCCCACATCAGAATTTTGAGATTTTCTACTGGGGATGTATCAACCTATGGAGAGATGTTTGTGAAAAAATATGAACTAAAAGTCGCTTCTTAAGACGTTTACTTTTGAGCTTGAGGTTTTCAACCAATCACAACACCCAAAAACAATAGAAAGAAAAAGCCTCAAATTTGTCATTTTCCCCACATAGAATTTCTGTCGTATTGAAGCACAGAAGATTTATCACTAAAAGGGAGTTTGTCAGTAGTTAAATATCACAAAAAATATACTTCTCTTCCATTTTTCGTGTTCTCGACCTATAAGAAGATTGATTTAAACAATACTACAATTATCACATTTCTACATTCCATGCCGTTGATTGCTATCGTTCTTATCTGCATCGTTACTTAAGAGCTAGCTTGCTTCGCAGACTCGATATTTTTTACTCTCGGATACTCTCTAGTCCAAGATACAGAAAAAATACCATGTTTCTGCGATAATATTAGTGATTTTTCATTTTCAATTTCATGCAACTCTATTGCATACAAAGAAATCTCCAAGCCCATAGACAAAAACCGCGATACAAACGTTGAATTCAGTTTATTATTACCTTAATATTAATACTTTTTTTAATAGAAAAATACACTTATTTTAATATATCAACGCGAGCTAGAACCCAAGCAACACGGAAACGAGTGACCCTGGGCACTAGCCTGGATCACATAATCTTTTCAGAATAAAATAAATAGGTTGTTAGTAAAATTAGTATGGATATTCATTGGGGAATGTCAAGCATATATCATATTGTGGTCAAAATTGATTTCCTTCAGGTTTCTTAGTGCGCATGCTCTGCACTGCTGTCCAGATAAATCACAGGATATGGGTGAAGTACGAACGCGGTTTGGTCACAATGTTTGCACATGAGATATTGGGTAGAAAAACTCGCCGACTACATACAAATCGAGGGGCGGGTTACAAAAATTTCGCAAATTACAAAATTTAACAAAACAGAAAAGAGTTGGTTTTCCCTATGAGAGAGTGAGTACATTCAACACTCATGGGTATTACCAGTAGTCGATGGAAATTCCCTTACTTCTTTACGGACTCGCTATATCAGCACGTTATGCTTCTATTTTAGCTAAGCTTTCTATTCATAATGGCCAGCAGTATTCTTGTTTGCGGTCTCACTTGTTTAACATGCGCATTAAGGTTCATTATCTATCAATACCCCTCCCTGTTAGTCATATTTATGCATAATCATAACTTACTACAGACCATAGGATGGCCACATTAGACTCAAATGAAAAGAAAATTAAAAAAAAAACACTCGGAAAATTTGACAAGAATTAGCCAATGACTATGAAGAGCGTGACCACGTGCTCAAGGCTTTTCACCGGAAACCAGACGTCGGTTGATGTCATCAATTACAGGAGGAAGGTCGTTGATGGTGTCAATTACATAATGTGCGCCAGCATTTGAAAGGATTTCGTAGGAACGATTCAATCTTCGTTCGTAGTCTTCTTCGGAGAGGGCGGCTATTTCTTTTTCGTTGAGGGCAACATAGTTTCCCTAGATTTAAAAAGTAATAAAATAATAAGTTGAAATATACCTTGAAACAACAACCCCTCCCCCTCCCCCAGCTCTTATCTCTGCGTCTCTACACAGAGTAGTATACCAAAGAATCTTCAATATGCATTGCACCTAGCAGAAACATGTGCTAAGGTGCAAGGTAAATTTTGGTCCCATCATTTATCTAGCAGAAGTTTCATCCATTTTCATAAACGCGCGCAGTTTTTGGCTTCCGTCAATACAAAATATACAAGCTCAGACTGGTAGAAATTTGATTGACAGAAGTCGAAAACCCAGACGCTTCGAATCATAGCTAGTGTTCTGGTTCCCGTAATAGGCCATTTCACGGATCCCGTTACTCAACCTCAGCCTCGTCAGCGTGTAATTATTCTTTAGAATTTGACTACAGTCCGCAGTAATGAAAGGAATTTACACATCAACGAACAATTGAAACACTTAAAAATCTCACAGGTTGTAGGCAATTTCTAAAGAATATATGTATATGTATATATATATATATTTCCTTACTGTTTTTGCTAGACCAACACTCCAACACCCTGCGGACGTCCCTTCCCTGACCCCATCAGCAGTGTCATCAACCTTGACGATGGCCTCTACCGGGTTGACGTCAAGACGAATAGCATTCAGCCATACCATATATGGGTATGGTCGGGCCTGAGGAACCTCGTCTGCTGCTACGTAACAGTCTGGAACGTAACCTTGGTCAGCGGCTGCCTTTTTTAGTTTATCGACCATGGCGGTGGTAAACCCTGTGGTTGAACCAATCTGAGGGGAAAATGGAAGTATTTAGCATAATTTGTTTATCATCTAAAGTCCGGTTTAGACGGTACAATTTTCGCCTACAACTATCGTATACAACACGCTCGCGTCTGTCGTAGGCGAGTTGTAGGCTTGATTTACACGCTACGACTCGAGTTGTAGGATGGCACGAGCGTGTTGTATACAATAGTTGTAGGCGAAAATCGTACAGTCTTAACCGGCCTTAACATGGCTGCCGTCACGTGAAGGTACAAAAAACTAGGTGAGAGGCGACGCATTACAAGCGCACACAACTCATGCGCTTAATATGATATCCGTGAAAGCACTTCACAAGAGGCAGACCAATACATTTCTATCAGTTACCTTTAAACCAAATTCTTCTCTCAAAGTCGTCACAGTATCCGCGGCACCAGATATCATCTCTGAATATTGTTCAAGACAATCGATTTGTTTTGGAACAAAGTTCTGGAACATGCGTTCTACGTCTTCTTCATTGGGATAGCGGCCGAACTTCTCGTGCCAACGTTGTCGCACTGGTTCCTGGTTGGTGATTTTTCTTATGTGAACTTTCTTGTGTGCTCCCATTGGTTCGCGCGCTTCTTCCATTGTTATGGGCACGCCTTCTTGCGCGAAGACTTCTACGAACACCACAGCAGGTGCGTAGACGCCACAGTCCATTACAGTACCGGCCCAGTCAAGGATACAGGCCTTTAGCTTTCCTTGATATTTGCGCACCATTCGATACTCGGTGCGCGGATTCTTTAAGGGATTTCCTGCGTAACAAAACATTTAAGAAAATCTGTTAATGCCTTCTCGTGATGTCATTTCCTGTCTAATGTGGCATGTTGATCAGGTGAATTGTAAGTTTTCAATTGCTGGGTTTCAATCAGCTAAATAAAGTCTTTGAATCTCATTGTCTGCTCCAAATGGTGGTCAAACACGGCACAAATGAAAACGAAAAAAAACAAACAAACAACAAAATACCAAGGATTCGCATCATTACTTCCGCAAACCCTTCACTCTCAATACACCCCAGTGGGCACGGGATCATGTGAAAAGAGAAAATGACAAATACCGGAGARTCAAATACGTACCAGATTTTATTCTGATACGTTTTATCACATGAAATCGTTAATTAAACAATATAAGCCTAATCCATCCTCAAGTTAATTGTAATAACATACCAATGCTAATCACACTTGATACCCGAAAGCCGCAATACCTCGTCCCCCACGTCATGTTCCGACCCATGCCTATTGGTATTTCCGCCGGTAATCTCCGTAGTCTCCGTTAGTGTCGTCACGCAGCTTTGCGTGACTCACATGACTCACAACGTGACACCAACAACGCCTGCGATCTCGTGATATCTTTTAATGAAAACTATCGCACATTTTGACAAACAAAAAGTTTAATTAACTTGTGTGTTTAAAGAAGGATAAAACTGCTTGATGGAATGCTTTTAGAGAGGTTGAAAGCATGCTCAATAATGTGTGAGATGATTGGGGAGGGGGGTGGGGGAGGAATGAGTGATTGATGTATCATACAAAATGGTGGCAAGGCATTTCAACAAATAATTATATACACGTGCTTTAAATCTGCTCTATTTTTTACAAACTAAACTTAAAAACTGAAAGTGTCTTTAGAAAAGTTATTATAATTCATAAATTTCCATCGTATTATGTAAATAGAATGTAAGGGAGTAAAAGAAGGTCATGATAAATTAATTTAACTCGGATTCTGGTTGAACAGGAATGAGGAAAAACGGGATCCTTTCAGTCTGAACACGTGTATAAAAATAAAATACTCGATATTATATTTTAAGCCGTAAACTTCCCAAATGTTTGATCTATTTTTTTAAGAAATCTTCAAATCGTTTTAGCAAAAAACTTGATCAAAACCGGTTTTTTCGTATGCCACCACGATTACTGGTTTTTTGTTTTGCGCCTTCAGAGATCACGCCAAGGAAATAAAGGAGGTAAAAATCGGCGCATGGAAGTATAGATTTTCGATGTAAAAATAAAATATACGTGTAGAAAAGCGGTTTGAACTGAACTACTTTAGACTAGGGTTTTTTTGAAACTCCTATAGAGATAAAACTTTGAAGCGAATTTTCAAGTTTGAGTTTCTTTTAAAAACATTCTTTGAGACTCGTTACGACAAGAGCGATGTGTCAATCCCATGTCAAGTCGAAAGAAGTCGAAAGAAAATAAGGTAAATCGAAAAAGGGCGATGTAAGAAGTACGTGATCTTCGATAAGATGAAGGAGAAGGCGGATTTTTACCTGTGACTAACTTCAGTTCTCCTGGATGAGATTTAGAAGATCCAGAAGGAATTTGCGTCTCCATTCCTCTCCGTAACACACTGCTCGCTGCGACGACAGGACGGATTGACTTCGCTAACGAACCGACTCTCAATGTCTTAGACAACATGATGGTAGAATCTTCTTTCTCCTCGGTATGAGAAGCGACTATTCACCAACTATCCTTGATCTCAGTGTTAAAGAAGGATCTTATATACGCCACCGCTGTCATGTGATCACCGGAAGTGAAAAAAAAAAACGTGTTTACAAATATACATATTCACGTGAAAGTCACGGGTTGAAGACCATTAATACAAAAATGCCATGCAAGGATAAGCTATTGATGACAAATCCCAGGCAACCAACTGAAATTTTAAGTATTAAGATGTCAAATTATCCCTGAAGTGATTTAGAAAATGAATTGTTTTGAACTAAAGACTTTAAACCATGAATATTTAATTAGGTTTGTAACGCAATCCATCGTGTTTTGAAAACAAAAGTCTATTTATTTCAAGTATTAAAAACGTATCTGCATTGCCTCTACCTTGTAGATTTATATCTGATGCTTATTTGAGCAGTAAACCTGTTTTATTAGATTGTTGGAGGGTTTCCAGCGATTGAGAGGAAGACTTCATTCGAAACGGAAATTCTGACATGGCCATTCTCACGTGCACCGATAGCCATAGGGAGGACGCCGACTCCTTTTAGTGCCGCTTCCGTTTTCCCCGGGACCACCCGAGAAATAAAATATATGGAACCAGATTGTTTTTATCTTATTATGTTTATCACAATCAAGAAATTTTAACTGTTTTTTATTATTTATTTATTACGTTTTGTTTTGTAAACAAAAGCTTATTATTTATTTTTTTTGCCACACCTTTTTTTATTACTAGCAGTTTGATGTGCCCCCGGCAAACATGCTAGGTGAAGTCACTTTCTTACCAACATGTAATATCTTTTTATATAAAATGGTGGTGTTTTCAACGTTTTTATAGCGATGACCTTGACCACAATGAAAAACTAAGACTTCTATAGGTCAAATGTTGAGCTTCTCATGACCCAAACCTGATATAAACGAGTTATCCATCATTATCCATTGCTTTACGCCTTATGAGGGGTTCGACGTTTGACTACGTACTTGTAAAGCACAAATAAATTCAAATATTATTCGTAACTTGCATTTCCGATTGAGCGCCTTGTATTTTGCTAAAAAAGAAGCGCATAGCGAATAGGAAATTGCAATTGATAGTTTTCAAAGACGCCATGTTGGATGAATTTAACAAAAGATTCATCATTAGTCTCTTTTGTTATATCCACCAACATGGCCGCCGTGTCTTTTGTTATTTCATTCTCTTGGGAATGATTGAAAACCAGCAATACTAGTAGATCAAAAAAAGATGTGGTGTGAAGTAGTGACTGAATGGAATGGAAGAAATAATGGGATGAAAGAATTGGTGAGTGAATGAAATAACGAATGAACAAAAAAGTGCCTCGATGGGGTGAATGGATAAATGAAAGAATCTATGACTGGACGAATAAGTGTTAGTAAATGAATGAATGAATAAATGGATAGGAAGTAAGATTCTTAAAAATATGGATTCAAAGACCTTTATATAAAAATTATGAAAAAATAAATGAATGAAGAAAGTGACTATTAACTATGCAAACTGGGAAGTTCTCATTCTTCAAACTGTCATTCAACTTTTTTTCCTTTTATTCAAAATTAAAATAAAATACCAAGAATGGAAATTTCCCAATCATTTGAGTTGTCGTACAATCCAGGAAATCACATCCATCTAATTTTCTGAAATTCTAGCTTTATCTATAAATCTTTCTCCCTATTTACAATTAATACACAACATTGTCGCACTGAGTACTGCCTGTGGAAGTGCGGCATTCTAGACACCCAAGAGGAATGCTTGCTTTGATGGTGTCCTGGGTTCAATATCATCATAAGTCATTACAACGGGATTGTTTAGTGTAGCATTGAATGTGCCTTTCAGCACTGTGTTGGCATACGTAGGGCTCAACTGTAGACACAGAAAAGAAGTGTTAGAAAAATGGTAGACATACCTAGAGATATAGTCGTAACTATGCATACAATAATGTGTAACATATTTGGTCAGGGGGGAGGGGATGGATGGATAATTTCTGGAACTCGGCATTCTATCAATGTATTGATATGTGTAAAAAAAGTTATGAGAATGTCTTATTACCTCATATGAACCTGGACCCGGTACATCGTGTATGTATTTCTTGAAGCGAGAGTCTCTAGTGACCATCAGACCTCCTGTTGCTCCGTTGTCATTCACTTCATAATGACCAGGACCTGGACGTTAAAAGCATGGTTAACATTATTATTATTATTAAAGAAAGAACAGATATGACAAAGCTGACACTGTATGCATGAGACAACTGGCACATGCCTTGGTTTTCAAGGCTGGTTGGCATCCCCATCAAGACGTCATTTGTAGCTTTAGCCAACAATCATTTATGAAACCCTGAAACATCCTCTGGGCTGATCAAGAGTCAGGGTTGGCTAATAATGTTGGGTTTTGCAGAGGAAGGATAACCAAAGAAAAACCCTGGAATCAAGGGAGAGCCCTAACAAACTCTACTCACATGTCATTCAGTTTCCAGTAAAATTACAACCGCAGACCAACTACACCCCAAAGCTGATGGGCGAGTAAACTATCGCTGCACATCAGAGTTGTGCTGTGCACTCGCAATGTCTTCTTAACGCTACAAAGTGTTTGCCAAATTTGTTTAACTCACTGTTACTTTTTCAACAGGACCAACAAGCCTCGTTTTCAAGCCTACTGACAGCATCTCCTCCACCATGTTACTAACAATATGCATAGGGTTTATACCATACCTGGTTCAACTTCTTCAGGGAGAACAATTTTGTTATCTGTGAATCTTGTTGCCGTCGACAAAAAGCCGCCAGATTTCTTGACTTGTTTGTTGATTTGTTGCGCATAGGGATAAAGAACTCGACCTGGAAAACAAATAACAAACATCAGATCTTTTTCTCCCATTAAAAAGAGTGGGGAAGTTGGAACTTTAACTTTCATCAAACTTCCAAAAAACGTCTCTAGAGATCTAAGTTAGGGCACAGCTAACTTACACATTTTATTGGAATTCAGTGTGTTAGTAGAGTGAGAACTGGAGAGCACAAAAAAGCCCTTATAGAAAGGGAAAGACTAACAAACTCTACTCATATGAGATGCTGAGTCCAAGAATAGAACTTGAGTCACCCCGGAGGTGATAAACGATTGCAATACCACTTTGTTGCCCTTGGTTTCTCAGAGAAAACTAACAAAAACACTCTTGCCACCTAAAGCATCCTACCTTGTGTGGAGTCATGTGATTTACAGACTTCGTAAGAGCCTGGAGGTGGTGCATCCTAGAATAAAATACATTAATTGTTGTTAATATTTATAAGTTAAATAAATGGATTGGCAGATATATTGGTGGATAAATGGAAAAACATGATGCTGGTTGGGTGGATTAATGAATGGGAGGTCGAATAGATAAGATTTGTGGGTGGATTGTTTGACAGAAATAGGTAGACAATTGAATGGATGGATGGATGGATGGATGGATGGAT